TTGATGAAAGATTGTAAGATCATGGCTGACATCTAATCATCCTATCAATCGGAGTTATGGAATAGGAGTGATTTAAGAGCATATTGTTATGGTTATTTATTATTGCTGTTATTGCAGTTGATTTAAAATATTGTGGCGGTAAATTAATAGAAAGTATTTGTGCTTTTAGCTTGTTGAATTATCGAAAGCGCAGGATATTGAAGCTGGCGATGGAACTACAACAGTAGTTGTTGTTGCCGGTGCATTGCTTGGTGGCGCGGAGAAATTGTTAAACAAAGGTAATTTAATTATTTTGTTAAATTGAGGATAGAAGGGCAAAAAGCAAAAAAGCTTGCGAAGTTGGAGAATGGCGAAATTTTCGACTCTTACCTACTTAGGTTTGAGATGCTGTCGGGCAAGAACGACAGTTGTATTAATCTGTGAATTATTTTAGGAATTCATCCGACGACGATTTCGGAGAGTTTTCAGCGTGCTTCGGTTCAGGCTGAAAAGATTCTGGAATCAATGGCTTCACCAGTCGACCTTGAAAACGATCACCAACTAGCAAAAATTGCCACAACTAGTTTGAGTTCCAAAGTAGTTATTTCTTATATTCACTAGTTATCGCTTATACTTTTCATAATTTTGCCGAAGAACAATCTCCAAAAATTTGAGTTTGGAGTATCCTTATCGTATGAGCATGACTTTGTCGTTTTTCCAAGAAAATATAATGAAGCGCGGTTTTCGTGAAACTATTTTATAAGAGAAGGTGGGCGTATAATGATGCGTTAATCTTTATTAAGCAAGTTGTCTTTATTAAGAGGCTTAAAGTGATATTATTTTCTTCCTCAAATAGTTCTCTTACCTTCTCTTATACCTTCTCTTATAAAATAGTTCTCTTATAAACTTCTCTTATAAAATATTAATGTGATATTATTTTCATATTATATGCTGTTTGTTAGTGTTTAGTTTATTTTCTAAAATATTTTCCTTTTAGGTTGTATCTCAATACTCGTGGCTGCTTGCACCGATGGCAGTGAATGCTATTAAAAAAGTGATTTTTTGATTGGATGACATTTGCTTGAAATTAGCTGCTATTTTGTCTCTTTTCATATCTGAAATGCTATAAATTTAGATTAGCAATGCGGAAGATAATAACGTCGATTTGCGGATGATTAAAATCGTGAAGAAAGTGGGTGAAACCGTTGAAGAATCTCGCTTGGTAGATGGCGCACTTATTGATCAGCGTTCCATGGGACGTGGTGGTCCAACTCGTGTTGAAAAAGCCCAAATTGGACTAATTCAGTTTCAGCTCAGTCCTCCAAAAACTGATGTATGTTTTTTTCACTTGCATTTAAGTAATTTATTACTCTCCATATTTACTACTTATCGTCTTATCTTCTGACATGTCATTAGGTTATTTTGGAATTTTGATCGCATTTTTTAGCATGGCTTTTCATCATTTCAGATGGAAAATCAAGTGATCTTGTCTGATTACACTCAAATGGATCGAGCTTTAAAGGAAGAGCGAACATACTTGCTTGATTTATGCAAGCAAATAAAGAAGGCAGGATGTAATGTCTTGCTTATACAGAAAAGCATTCTCAGGTGTTCTAAAGTTTTTTTTTGGGAGATAAAACTTAAATGACTTTGTTGTTAAAGATGTATTTTAATGAATAGATAATAATCGATAATCGATAATAGGAAAATATTAAAGGAGGGGAAACTCCCGTATTTTCATATTTAGATCGAGCTTCTAGTCCTAATTTTGACTACATTTTAAATGTTCCCTGTATTTTTCATGAAGTTATATGTCTTAAAGAGATGCGGTAAATGAGATGTCTTTGCATTTTTTGGCGAAAATGAAGATAATGGTGGTAAAAGATATTGAAAGAGAAGATATCGAATTTTACTCTCGCATTCTCGGTTGTCGCCCAATTGCATCAGTCGACCATTTTGTTCCCGAAGCATTAGGTTCTGCAGATCTTGTTGAACAAATTCCGACAGGAGGAGATGGAAAAATTATTCAGGTAAAATATTTTCATATTTGAATATCCTTTAGTACCTCGCTGGCCCAGCTTTTACTTTTTAGGAAATGTCATTAGAGTAAAAACCTATTAATATGTATCAGCTGCATCATGTCATTTGTAGAATGAAATCTTTATGTTTGAAATAAGTAAATTGAATGAATTTTCAGGTTACTGGTGTGCAAAATCCAGGCCAGGCAGTTTCAGTTTTGATTCGTGGTTCTAATAAATTGGTATTAGAAGAAGCAGAACGATCATTTCACGATGCACTTTGCGTTATACGATGCCTGGTAAAAAAGAGAGCCATCCTTCCTGGTTTGTTAAAATATTTAAAATTCAGTTCCATTCTTCATCATTTTCACTTTTAGTCAACAATTCTTTTGCCGTAAAAAGAAAAAATCTCGATTATAACAATACATGTCCTGATGGAGATATTTGCAGTTCGTAAATCTCTCTTTCGACTTTAATATAATTATATCTGTTCATCCTAATTATTCCGCTTTAGGTGGCGGCGCACCTGAAATGGAGGTAGCAGTACAGCTGCGCCAATTAGCCCAAGAAAGACCTGGTGCTGAACAGTACTGTTGGAGAGTTCGTTCTATTAGTTTTTGCAAAATTTCATAACACATAGTAAAGTTCTCCTCTATTGTAAAGGCGTCAGTAACTTGGATTTCGAAAATGTTTTTTATGGTTTTCGTAGAAAGAGAGTGATAACCTGCTCTAAAGCGTCTGTGGAGCATGAAGTATGTGTGGTATTTTCTTTGATTTCTTTTCAGGCTTTTGCGGATGCTCTAGAACAGGTTCCATACACATTAGCCGAAAATGCTGGTTTGAATCCGATAGCGACCGTTACCGAGTTGCGCGCTCAGCACGCGAATGGCAAAAAGAATCATGGAGTAAACGTTCGCAAGGTTGTTTTATTGTATATATATTTATTGTTTTATTATATGGTAGAATGACTGTTGTTCTTTATTTTATTTCTGTCTTTGTATAATAGATGGTTTCAGCACTTAAATCTTCAGTATTCATAAAACTCTCATAAATTAATTCTGTCAGATTACCGCTTTTTAGGGTTACGTTACTGATATTAGAGAGGAAAATGTGTTGCAACCTCTTCTGGTATCATCCTCAGCAATCAAACAGGCTGCTGAATGTGTTCGCTCTATTCTCAAAATTGACGACATTGTAAGTCTATTATTTTGATGAATGGTTTTGCTAAACATTTTCATAAATTTTGGTAAAACATAAGCTTGTTGATTTATAGTTTTGCTTTTTTTTGCTGCTGTAATAAATGAAACATAAAGCATGCTGAAGAGACCATGAAAATTCCTGAACACATTGTTTTTAAATGTAGCAGAAGTTTCTCACAAGATCAGATCTCTCTTTTGTATATGCGTACTGTACCTGGAAACGTTTAAATAAAACAACCAAACTAATTAACACTAAGTTTGTGTTGCAGGTGATGGCTGTTCGCTAATAAGACTGCGTTAATCTTCGTACTCAATGATGTTATTGTTGCTTCAACTTATTCTTTTCTATTATCGTTGCTACGACTTAATTACTGCGGACAACCTACCGAATATATTTCCAGAGAGTTAAAAGTTTTTTGCCGCAGTTTTTAGATTTTGTTTCTCATCGTTTGACAGTTCTTTCCTATTCTTATATTTTCGATGAAATAAACCATTAAAAAGAAAATAAATATGGAGTTATTCTTCATGATACAAATCCATCTCGCAGCAGATTTTTATTATTTTTATTTTCGTTTTTTTGCTGTCATTAAAGTCCTTAGCATACCACCCACCTTCCGTTAAATAATTAATTGGGTGAAAAGTTGGCAGTGAGAAACCTGAACGTTAAGAGATGATTCGAATTTATTCACTCTGGTAGCTTTAGTTTCTACCACCTTTTAATATATAATTTCCACAAGGTTTCGGATGAAGCATTTGAATGGATTTCAATATTTTATTAGTGTATTAACAATCCTATGAGAGTGAATTTCAGTACACATGCAAAGAAAAATGCTGTTGTGACGAAAACCTTTTTAGTTAAGAAAAAAGTTATGAATTTTGGAATGAAATTGTAGAAATTGTCAGAAGTCGAGGAAATATAATGCTTGAATTATCGAAAAATGATTGTTGGAAAACAAACTTTATCGTGAAATGGTAATTTCTATTTCACGAAAATTCCTGAGAGCTTTTGAGAAGCATTTTTTCACAATGCAGTGTCTGTGAAAATTTGGGGAAAACTGGGTATCTTATTCAATTGAGCAAGCAGACATGCATCAATCGATGATGCAATTTCTGAACTGACAAATTCACAGATGAGTGAACTTTAAAACTTGTTTTCTGAGTTGAACTTTTATTCTGGCAATAAATATATTCGAAAATTACATAGCCATTTTTCATTAATATGTTGAAACAGCTGTAGCAAAAATTTTTTAGCGCATTTACAACTGTTGCAGGAATTGTGATTAAAATTTATGATGAAATTTTAAAAGAGAAATAATAATACATGAAGTTCGCACTTATTTTATTTTTGTTCTGCGACTTTGTCAATATTCTCCATCTCGTGGCATCGTTTTAAGTGCGACTTAAAGTTTCCACCTTTTGGTTCCGCAGAATGTGTTTTTTCTGAAAGGTCAATAATCGATTTTCATAATTTATTCTTTTGAAAGAATGTCATTGATCTAAATTTTAATCGGTTGTAACAAAAATATTTTGATATTTGTGCCACTGCTGAAATTTAATATTTTTAATATAAGTAAATCAATATTTATGAAATGAAATCATTCGTCCTTTCAGGAGTTTCAGGACTTCCCTCTATATTCATTTCTAAATCATTACTTATTTACTAAGTGAAATTAAATGATGTTAAAAAATAAGTATTAGTGATCTTTACATAAATAATGGTAAGAAATTCAATGGAAGGTTGGTGATCGAAATAGGTAAAGTGTATTGATTACCTAAAAATGTACTTTTATGCAATTTAGGTTGGCCCATTTCGATTGTGGATCGTTTTGGAAATTTCGAAGTGATCAATTCATTTTCTTGACCATTTCCTATCAGCATAAGAAAAATGAAGTTAAAAATTCGTCAAGAAAATATAGTAATATCGAAAAAAATTCGAAAATTTGAAACGCCATTCAAATTCGAAATAATCTGAAATTGTTCATAAATGATAATTTGAAAAGATTTATACGATTAATTAATTGTTCATCTTTTTCGGAGATTTATAACTTGCAAAAAATTGAACCAGATGTTGATTGTCCAACAGTTTTTTGTTCTTTGTAAACTTCCATCCAACGACTTTCCGTATCTTCATCTACACAATTCTGATAAAATTTTGTTGCATGAAGCATTTCGGTTGAACCAGCTTTAAAATTTCAATTTTAAATATACCATTTAATTAATCATTTCCAATTAATTATCATATCAATAAGTGAATATTTATTACTATCGATTATTATTCTTAGCTATTTAGCTTATCATTTTAATTAATATCAAAGTTAAATGAAAAAATATCTTCCTGAAATTGATCATTGATGCCATCTATCAAATGCATTCTGTCAAATTGATTCTATCTAATTATGATAATTAATTAATTTTATAATTTGTTATTTGAATTTACATAAATTATATTTAACACTTATATAAACAAAAATACTTCACGAAGCTATCCCAATTATAAATTGACATAAATTATAAAACTTATATAACACTTAAATAAACAAAAAAACAACACTTATATAAACAAAAACATTTCACAAAGCTATCCCAGACTATCACTGATTAGTTTGACCTATGATAACATCTAATTTCACATTGATCGATTACTTTTCACTTACTCGATAATCCTTCATTAAATTGAACAGACGAATCTTTTTCACTTCCATTCATTTCTCGTTGTGAACAACAGCTGCTCTTCTTTTGCATTGATGATAACTAAAAAAAGAGAAGTGAAAGAAGTATCTTAGTCTGATTGAGTTTCAAAATATTGCCGCAGGGTGCATAGTGTACTTTAATGAGAAAAGAAAAGTTCGGCGAAGAAAAAAAGGAAAAGAAGAATGATAAAAATAAAGGAAGTTAATGAATCAATAATGAATGATAAATTCTATGAAAAGAGAGGAAATAAAAGAAGAACAATTGTTTAAATGATCAAAAGTATATATTTAAAAATGATAAGAATGAAAATTTTTTGTGAGAATTATTTGGAATAAAATATCAAATAACAATTAATATAATTTAATTAATTAATTAACGTATTAATTAATATATTTTAATTAATACATTAATTAATTAATGATATTTGTAAATTGCAAAATTTCTTTTAGTAAAGCAAAATTTCCATCTCTTTTTCGTTTTCTATTTTACCATTTTTAAATTTATTCGATTTTTTTATAATATAAATTCTTAACGTTTATTTGCTTTAAAAAAAAATAACAACGAAAAAACAATATGTAATAATTTCCGGAAAAGATTGATAAATACAAATTTTTTCCGGAAAAGATTAATAAATACAAATTTCCGGAAATGACTGATAAATGCTGAAATGAAATAATTGAATATAAAATAGAGTTAATGAATTGATTACATTTTCTTTTCATTCATATGAGAAAATATTTTCTTTTCATTCATACGAGAAAATATTTTCTTTTCATTCATATGAGAAAATTCGACTAAATGTAATTTTTAATTAGATAAAATATAAGTTTCCTTATCATACTAATAAATTAACATATTATCATGTATAGATTATCATATTATCAGATTATTACATATTCATATCATCTATGAATTATTATATCATATCATACATTATCAATTAGGATAAATTATTCTAACTTAAAGTTATTATATGATAATAGATAAATAGTAAACTTTTTTATTCTAACTGTTTAATTTCAGTAATTTCTTCAACATATCATATCATTATTTTTCTTTTTCATATTCTTCTAAGTTTATCACAAAAAAGTAAATCGATATTTATAACAGATAAATGATAGAGTATCAAAAAAAATTTTTAATAAAATAATTTGAAATGATTTTTAGAATTCTTAAAAAATAGTAATTCAATTCATTTTGCTTTTATTATCATTAAATCAATTTAATTAAAATGAAAACATTACCCATCGGATACGAAAAATTTAGCAAAATTAGTATAAATTATTTTATCGCAAAAATTACAACAAATCATATCACTGAATTTTAATATCAAAATTATAATTATGAATACAAATTATCTTTTGTTACAAAATAAATTATTAAATTAAATACTCTAAGCATTTCTTCTATTATAAGGTGAATATAAATATTATAGTAATAAGAACATAAGATGATAAATATAACAGTAATAATATACAGTTGATATGAAATGAATAATGAATGATATTTGGAATTTTATTTTAATAAAAATTTAACTAACCTTTATTGTATGTTCAGATGTTGATGGTTGACAGTTATCTTTCTGTTGTTGTTGTTGTTGTTGCTTTCTCGTTTTTGAAACAAAAAAAAAACCCGTTCATTTTTCAATAATACAAAATATTTCATCAATCAATAAATTTTTGTTTTATAATTAAATAACAAAATAATTTAGTATAACATTTAAATATAATAAATGCTTGAATTTTTAAATTGCTAATTTAAATATTACTTGTTATTAATTAAAATTTAACTCACCAAATTTGTCAATCGATGGTGAATATGCAATTGATTTCCTTCGATGAATAACTGAATTTGAGCAACACCCATCAAATAGTGGCATTTCCTCTTTTTCAATTTATTTTATTGATTTCTAAAAATAATATGATATGTAGCAAATAATTTTTTATATCAAAAACAAAATTATTTCAATTGAATTTAACAGAGTTAATAAATTATATTTGAATAGACTTTTACTATTTATTATAATAATCCATCACTTACATAATATTGTAATATCATTTATATTAAATTCTATAAATGATATTATGTAATACGATAAATGATATTATGGAATTTTATAAACGATGTTATATAATATTATTTTATAACTATGCTTTATTTTATAACTATAATTATAATTCCATAACTATACTACATAATACCATTTGTACTAAATTCGATAAATGATATTATATAATATTATTTAGATTAAATTCCATAAGTATACTACATAATACCATTTATATTAAATTCTATAAATGATATTACCAAAAGATAAAGAAGAGAAATGAAATATTTAAAATTAAAAACTAGAAGATAAATTACAATATTATATTAAAATTTTCATGCCCTCTCTAAAAATGTTTATTTTTAACTGGAAATAAGAAAGAATATGTGAATGTAAGAAAATATTGATGAAATAATAGGAAGAGTAATGAAAAAAAATAGTAATAAAGTAAATGCTATAATAAATAAATTCGGATAACTTGCTGTTGCCGTTGTTGTCATTATTATTGCTGTTTTTTATTGCTGTTGTTGTTGTTATTGTCGTTGTTGT